CTCTCTCTCTCTCTCTCTCACTCTCTCTCTCTCCACCAACAACCGATCTTTGACAGCATGTCAGCGTTGGATGGCTAACCTCCGCCTCCTAAGATACAATATATCTTTACTTAAAAGTCCCTACCAAATCACATATCATTTGTGCCTTTATCCGAAAATTCACAAAGCAAAAGTACATCACAGATATAACCTTTTCTCTGTAGATCCAAAATTGAAAATGGGGAACTTTGAGTGTGATAAAACGGGGAAAGAAAATTTAGTCACAAAAAGGCGAAATGTTCTTCTCAGAGCGCCCTTGGAGGGCCGTGTTTGTTTTAATGAAACAAGGGCAAGGGGAGAGGGAAGGAGATTGCTGGGGACTCACTTCTAATCTCACAGACTGGTGCACGACTTGGGACCCACGGGAGATGGCTGGAATTCTCACTCTCTCCCTTCTTTCTCTCTTCTTTCTCTCATTCTTTCTTTCTTTCCCTCTTTCCGTCTCTGTCTCTGTCTCTGTGTCTGTTTCTCTCTCTCTCTCTTTCTCCCTCTCTCTCTTTCTCTCTTTCTATCTCTCTCTCTCTCTCTCTCTCTCTCTCTCTCCCCCCCTCTCTCTCTCTCTGTATCTCTCCCTCCCTCCCTTCCACAATATTTGATAGATATGAAGCTGGAGGCAAAATTTCAAATCTGTTTAAAAACATAGGCTTCTTCATGAAATGCCATCTTGATAGTCAGTCTTTCTTTTTTATCGTACTCTTATGTTCATAACGTGATATGCATATCGTCATTGATAGAGCTGTGATAGTATAAATGTCTGCTCATGTGTTAGGTTTAGTAAATATATATATAATGCTTTCATGCACTCAGATGTATTTTGTGTTAAGATGAATGTTTTGTAAAGTGTTTAAAGCTGCATTGTATGGGAATTGGCTCTTTAGTATTTATTATTTGCGTTTTTCTTCATCTTTTTTTTCTCTCTCCATTCAGTGGCAGGTGGGTTACCTTAGCGACAACCTGGCAATGGACAACTACTATTACCTTCTGACCGTACACACTGGCCTCTCTCGTGGTTCCGGCACCACTTCAAGGGTCAGTTTTGTTCTCACTGGAGTCAGTGGGGACACCAGTGTGAGGCTTCTCACAGATGGGAAACAAGTAGGTAACTAGTGAAGTGGATATTAATAATAATAATAATAATAGATTGCATTTATATAGTGCTCTATCCCATACTAGTATAAGCTCTGAGTGCTTTACACCAATTACATAATCATTCACACAAGTAAAAATATTTCACAGAAATAAGAAAACCAGTTCAACAACGTAAAGAAGAACTTTCATAACCATTCATGAACTATATACACGAAAGGACAAAAAAGAAAAAAAAAAGAAAATTTTAGATATATATATATATATATATACATAACTAACAATTAAACAATTTCTTGTATGTGTAATTACTCTCTCCCTATACCATCAGGTACATAAGACAGAGAGCAGTTGATGCCATGCTTGCCTGTCCCTGGCTACCTCCTCCATTCTTGGCACATCTACTAGAGTGGGATCCTACTCGCCAAACCTGTCTCTGGCATTCTCAAAACATGTCCTATCTTCATTTTCTCCTTTTCATGATCGTGTTGATATCTTCAATTCCAACTCTTTCCAACATTTCATTATTTGTAATAAATTAATTCCATTTTATTAGCAAAATTCTTCAAAAGCATTAATGTTTGAAAGCTTTTAAATTCTTATGGATACACTGTTTCGACAAAATTTTACGTATCAGTATTTGAGTCTGGGGGTGTTTGGTAAGTGTTACTTCTTATGTCTCCACTGCTTAGCTGGTCAAAGTTCCTAGATCTATGTTCATGGAATATTACTTTTTCAAAAACCCTGAAAGTTTTTCTGATCAAACACCCACCAACTGGTCTCACAATTGTTGACTTTAAAAGCCAGCAGAGCCTGATTTCTTGCTTTGAGTGCCAGGTGCAGCTCAATGGTAATCAAACCCTAAAATGTACACAGCGAGAGTAGGGCTTTAATGTTACTGCACAGTTTCTTCATGAGAGTGAGAGATTCAGAAGATACAATAGTATTATATTGTTATGGTTTTAACATGGCAAAGATGCTGTTGCTGCTGCTGCTGCTGCTGCTGCTGCTGCTGCTGATAATGAAGATGGGATGGTGAAAATCACTTTGATGTGTTAAGCAGTAATCTCACTTTTCTGTTGCCGCTTTTGTCTTTGTTGAAGTTGAAAATACCATTTTAGGCACAGGTCATTAGTAAACAATGGGAAGGGGGCTCTCATGGCTTAGAGGTTGAGATGTTTGCCTCTCACTCAAAGGTCCCGGGTTCGAATCCGGGAAGCGACCGAAACATTTTCTTTTCTAAAATTGTCTCCTTTCACCTCCTTTCCTGCTCTCTAGCAATGTTCTATCGTCTGCTTTTATCTTCACTTTCTGCCCCAACCCCCTCACCTCCTTTGCCCCCTCCTCAGGGCTCCTGACTCTTTCTGCAGCCTTTCTACTGCTTCTCCTTGGTTCCTTGTTACTGCTGTCTTTCAGCCACACCCCTAATCTTCTGGTAGGAAAGATCTACACCTAGTCTTCTCGGATGAAGGAGAAAAATCTTGGAGGTCTCGTGTGCAAGTTGCACACGTTTAAGATCCCTTGGTGGTCTAAAATCGATAAGAGTAGACTTCGGCTGCCACCCGGGCTAATTTAGAATTTCTTACCCACAGAAAAAGTTAAATGTGTCCTGTGCACTCATATGACTTTATGCAGTTGCAAGCTCCGTAAAACACTTACAAAAAATCAAACAAAACAAAAAACAAAACAATGGAAGACTGGCAACTAAGAGACCAGCAAAGGTGTGCTACTCTGCCATATGCAGACAAAATGCCTTTTTTTATTCACAGTAGTTTAGAGAAAAAAGGCATTTTGTCAGCGTAACCGTGAAAGAAAAGGTGTTCTTCCAAAATTTGAATTTGAATTTATTAAAAAACTAGTCACAGTTTTCACTTTGATAAATACACACATGTTAGGTAACTGATCAGGCTTTCAATTTAGCAAATTAAAAAAAATCGCACCACTGGTCTGAATGTCTATGTTATTGTCATGAAGCAAGACGAATGAACCATTTTTGAAAGCTTGGCTTTATTAAATAAAAAAAACCATGCAGCTGGTTCATTGGGTAGAGAGCGACTGCCGATAATACACAGGTGAATGGAAACAGGACACAGCGCAGCTTTACAAGGCACTGAGTGACAGTCAGAAACACTGTGACAGAGGACTCAACAAGTGAACAGAGACGCAACAAGATAAATGTCACCACATTTACTGTGTAAAGTAGATAGTTTTGCTTAATGTCCATTATTGTGATGATGTGCTTCTCTTTACTCAAACAAGCAAACAGGTAGTTTTGTATGTGATTATTATAATAGAACTTCTCTGTTCTATTCTTTCTATTTTCACCTACTTGTTTGTCAATGTTCTTCCACATAGCAACTATCGACGGGGTCTGTCGTGACCTATGTCATGGCAACGCCATATGACCTAGGAGAGCTGAACTATATCCGAATCTGGCACGACAACTCTGGCGATGGTCAAGGCCAGTCTTGGTATCTCAACAAAATCTATGTGGAAGATCTACAAACCAACACTAGGTAAGAACATATGAACAGTTTATTTCAGTGAGTTTCTAAGGCTTTCCACCTATTTGACTCTGTCCTATCAGAAATGCATATGAGACTGTGGATCATCACCTGTTCCATTGCACATCCCTAAATGACATCAGAGCTACACTTCTCCCTCCGCGACCTAACATTGACAACACACTCTATGGAACATTACAGCAACTGCGGCAAACCTGCACTTATCACTACATGGCATTGGACAGAAGGGCGAGAGCATGCAGCATAGAAAGGGGTGTTAAACTTATACAATTTCACACATTTTTCCCCTTAGAAATGAATTTCTCTTTATTTTTTATTGTCCAAATTTTGTCCGTCACAGGAAATTGTTAATTCCTCCCAGCCTGACTTGGCCCAATGAAAGAAAACTGCAATGTTTGACCCATGATAAGAGATATATTATGTGCACAACCTGTACTTTTTCATAATGGGAACGTTATGAATTAACGAATGAGCGTTTTATATGATGTGATGTAGGCCAATGGCCTTAAACACGGAATAAACTTACTACGTACCTCCCCTTAGAAACCTAAAAAAACCAGTTCCAAAATTTTGCGTTGGGAATTTGCACAGTTGTTCAGCATGATTCCAACTAAATGGTGGGTGGTGGGTTCTCGGGTGTGGTTTGCTCCTTCTTTCCTATCAAACATCTATCACCCTTATCTCTCTTCCTTCTTGTATGTATCTGTTACTCTCTTGTAACACCTCTAATCTTCGACATTATACAACCTAATTGTGTTGCAAGTGCCATAAATGCTTACTGAAACAAAGATTCCATCAGGGATACTGTATGCCCAAATGTCATGTGAATTCCTGAGAAGATTGTACATGAAATGAAAGTGGGAGATGGAATATGAGTTCAAATTCTTCATCTAGGAAGAATTAGTTGTTCAGTTTGGTAAAAGTTTTACCAGGCTCACAACTGCATACGATCACAAGAGTGTGTGTTTAGTTGCTCAACTCTTCATGAATTTAAAATAAGTAAGTTGCTTTAATTTGGCAGCATCATGATCTTTCTCCCCTTTTGTATGTTGTTCTGTGTAAGAGATGAATTTCCAGATTTTATCAGATCTCGAGAATAGTTGTACACAGATAACATGAACACGGAAAACTCAAAAGCATGGATTGGATAGCTCGTACAATTTGCCATCCCCTACTGTTCTCTCTTTAACTTTTTGTTATGGGTTAAAATAAATAAAAAATAAATTACACTTTTTATTTGTCCCAGGAGGGCACTTTGTTTCACAATGGCAAACATACATACATAAATACATAATTATAAATACGTACATACATACATACATACATGCATAAATACATACATAAAAACACACTATTACACAAATACAGAACAGTTTACAAACAATGCCACTGTCGGTCGCCACTGTGCAGCGCCCTGTAATGTGAGCAAGTGTTGTCGTGTCTTGCTCAAGGACACACTCCAGTGACCACCCATCTGATCCCTGTGTCACCGACACTTGCTTGACATTGTTTGAGTCAAAACTCACTACTCACTTAGCCACTGGAGCCCCCAATGGTTGTCCCGAATTATGGATGTGTTGTACAAGTTTGTCAGTCCCTGATGTGCTGGTGTTATCCGTTCCCGACTGTATACTTGTGTAATGATATTCCATTTGTCATCTGCATCAGGACTGTGTTCTTTGGTAACCAGTGGCTTGCTATGGATCAAGATGATGGACGTTTAGACAGGATTTTACCAGGTAGTAATATAGCTTTTCAATCAGGAAACGACAAATGCAGTTTTTGGGACACGTGAATAGACAAAGATCAGGGAAACGTAGCTTTTTTGAGAGCATCCAAGCAAAGGAATGAATGGAAAACCATGATCGCCGATGTCTGTCGCAGATCTGGCTCTGGATGATGATGATGAATATAGCTTTAAAGTTATAATTATTTTTTAATAAAAATTTGTGTGTGTGTGTGTTTGTTTCTGTCTGTCTGTCTGTCTGTCTGTCCATCCATCTGTCTGTCTGTATGTCTGTTTGTCATGGTAACATAATTGTTGAATATATCTTTTTTTGTTCGAATCCATATGTCGCTTCCTTTGTCTGTGCATCAGTCTCAATGTCTACCTTTTCTTCATGTTTTCCCTTTCATCCTGTCCTCTGTGAGCCTGAAAGACAATCTGCAAATTGATAAATTGTCATCCCTTTCCTTGTAACCTGGGGAGAAAAGCTATCGTGGGGTAAAGATGAATTCTCTATTTTATAAAGACCATTGGTCTTTGCTTGAAAATTTAAATACAGTTGTTTTGCATATGTAAAATATTTCATATTTGTATTTACAAACCGTGCAGTGAACTGTTGCGAATGCTACCAACTTGTGTTTCGCGCGCTCATATGACCGTACGCAGTTACGAGCGCTGTAAAACCCTGTACTACTACTACTAAAATGTATTTACATTTACATTTCATATCAAAGAAATCTATAGTACAAAAATGTAGGATTTGTCACCCCAGATTCCAGACTTGGCAAAAGCTAAAGTGATAAGCGCTGCCAATATTATGTTGAGCAGTGGTATTGCTGTCTCCTGTGATTGGTTGTACTTTTTCTCAATGAGCATTAGAGATTAGTTATAATGAAAAGATATCACCCTTTTTTTCCAACGAGACTCTATCTCATGTGATTGTCCCTTTTCTTGATATGCAATAGAGATAAGTTGAAATGATGAGCAATCACCCTTTTCCCGTGGGTAGTTGGCGGGTGCTCTGGTGTGGTTTGCTTCTTCTTTCCTATCAAACATATATTGTCTTTATCTCCCCTCCTTCTTTTTTGTGTTTGTTTTCACATGTACTCTCTTGTAGCACCTCTATTCTTCGGCACTGATATGACCTTGTTGTGTTGCAAGTGCCGTAAAATACTTACTAAAACTAAAACCTTCTTCCCCCCAGTGACATTGCTGTCTCCTGTGATAGACATTTTTTCAACAACTGTTAGAGACGTGTCATGAACTTTATGATATCACCCTTTTCCCGTTCCTCCAGTGAGCTGCAAGGATGACTTGATGACATTCATGAGGTTGTTCTTTTTGTCGATAAGCCTTAAAGAAGTCAGAATGATGGGATATCACCCTTTTTCCCTCAGTGAGATTTCTGTTTCCTTCAATTCTTCTTTTTTTTCCCCGCAAGTGTTAGAGACAAATCATGAACTTCATTATGACAATCACAGTGACAATCTTTATTCATCACCCAGGGAAACATTTGTCTTGGTTGTTAACAATGGCAGTAGACGTTACAAGGGTTAGGTGCACTCACGCATTCGCACAACAAGACAGGACATTAGTTAATACATGTCCCATGTACTGGGATGACCCGCTCTGTAAAACATTCTCTCTCTCTCTCTCTCTCTCTCTCTCTCTCTCTCTCTCTCTCTCTCTCTCCACCCTCTCTCTCCACCCTCTTCCCCAGTGAGCTGCAAGGATGACCTGATGACCTTCACAAGGCTGTTCTCCGAGCACAGCCGAGTGAACCTGACGGACAGTCATACGTGGCTGTCTGTGATCCTGCGTCCAGAAAAGAGCATGTTCACTCGCGTCCAGCGGCTTGCCACTTGCCTTATGACGCTGCATCTGGCCATGATCGCCAATGCTCTTTTCTACAAGGCGGAGGATGATGAAGGCGTCTCTGCTAGTGAGTGTTGAGATAAAGTCACTCTAGTGGGTGGTTGGCAGGTGCTCTGGTGTGGTTTGCTTCTTCTTTCCTATCAAACATCTATCGTCCTTAACTCACCTTCTTCTTTTTTATGTTTGTTACTCTCTTGTAACACCTCTAATTTTCAAGCGCTCATATGACCTTATGAAGTTGCGAAAATTTGATTAAAAATTCCCAAACCTGCGGGAAAATACCAGTTTTTTGACTTTCATTATTTTGATAAGCGCCTGATTTCACCACGCTGCCTCACATATCATAATCCTGTGCAACAATGTAGATGACCCTGGTTCAAGTCCCATTCTTGAACTTGGATTGTTTAGGAAGTCATCATGGCTTTGCATTGAACTCTGTGTAGTCTGCAGTAGACATAGGAAATTTTGCCACACCTCTCTCTCTCTCTTGCCCTTTTTTAAAACTCCCAGTGGAGCACAGGCCATCAACAGCATTACTCCAGTGAAGCCTGTCCTGAGCATCCTTTTCTATCAGTTTCCATGATGTCCCCGCTTTTTCAATTTCAACTTGTACCGCTCGCTTCCATGTCATCTTTGGTCTTCCCTTCTTTCGTTTTCCTTGTGAGTTCCACGTTAAAGCCTGCCTGATGATGCTTTGAAGGGGGTCTCCTCAGGGTGTGTCCAATCCATTTCCTTTTCTTCACCTGTATGTCTTCCTTTACTGGCCTTTGGCTTGTTCTCTCCCACAGTTGAGCATTAGTGACTCAATCGTACCACTTGATCCCCACTATTGCCACACCTACCCTTACCTTTTCTCCCCCCCCCCCCCATGTCTATTTGGCTCTTGAACTCTTTGTAGTCTTCATTAGTCATGCAGTGCTTATCCCCTTTTTTTCTTTTTATCTTTCCATCTCTCCGTCTTGTTTCTGTTTTTCTCCCTAACTCTCCAGTCTTCATTATTTGCGCAATGCTTATCCATGATCTTTTCTCTCCATTCCGTGTTTATTTTTCTCTGTATCTCTTTTTAGGTCTCCATTGGTCATGCAATGCTTATCCCTTATATTTTTTCTCCATCTTGTGTCTACTTTTCTACAGAATTGTTCCTAGTCTTCATTAATTGTGCAACACCTATATATATTACCCTTTTAAAAACAGACCTGATGACAACTGTGCCTCAGGGAATAATAGAGGCAGAGAGAAATATACGGGAAAACTCCCTACATCATACTTTGAAAACTTAAAATCCAATTATGATCTAAAACTTTCTGAAATAATACACTAAACCAGAAACCTGGGAAGTTGGAGACCAGTTGTGGCAAAGAGTAGAAAACAAACAAATGAACAGGGCTATGGCTACAGGTGATATCTTACACGTCTGATTTTGTAGCGGTGAAACCTGTTGACGCTTAAATGACCAAAATTGTGTCGATAGTGCCGTTAAACATCTACTCAATCAATCAATCAATCAAAATCAAACAGGTGATATCTCACCCATCTCGTGTCTTTTTCTTCCAGATTCTCTAGGCACAGAAGTCTAAATAGGTAACTCTGGTTCTCTATGACCGCATTGTACATGTCAATGATGAGTGAGCGGCATATGACCTATCCCTTACTTTTTTTCCCCAGATTCTCTTGGCACAGAGGTCCAGATTGGCAAACTCCGCTTCTCTCTAACCACTCTGTACACGTCAGTCGTGAGTGGGCTCATCACTGTTCCTCCAGTTCTCCTGGTGGTCTGGCTTTTTAAACAGCGTCGCCCGTGGCGCTCCTCAGAGGCCGATAGGAGCAGAAGGCTTAGCTCACACCATGGAGGAAACACGGTGAACCAGGAGGGAAACAGTAAGGCTGGCTTGGCTGTGATGATGTGTTGGTTGTCGCTTAAATTGACTGCGTTCATGAGAAACAGTCCAGCATAGGTCCTTAGAAACTTTGTCTTTCTGTCTTTCTTGCAGAAGTTTTAGTTTTCAACATGTAAATCTATTCTTGCATGTTCATATGACCTTATGAAATTGTAAACGTCAAAAAACTTTTCCCAAAACTTAACTGAAATCTTTTCTGAAGAAATTTTTATATTTTCAGATATTTAAAGATTTTTCAGAATAATGCTGAAAGTATTTTTATAGTTCTCTGGTTTTGCTTAGATCTATCTAAGATATACTTATGATTTGAAGTTCTGCACTTTGAATAAAGTTGCATAGTAGGTTTACTCAATTTCAAATGAATTTTGTTCTATTTTAGATACAAAATCCGCTCTTCACTAAAGTAGCATGTTGTATATTGAACGATAAAAAGGTGCTTATGTTCTTACAACACAACTTCCTATGAAATTTGAAATGAGTAGTGGGTGGTTGGCGGGTGCTCTGGTGTGGTTTGCTCCTTCTTTCCTATCGAACATCTATCATCCTTATCTCCCCTTCTTCTTTTTTATGTTTGTTACTCTCTTGTAACACCTTTAATCTTCTGGCGCTCATATGACCTTATGCAGTTGTGAGCGCCGTAAAACCTCTACTGAAACTAAACTGAAATAGAGTTGTACATTTAGACTAATCCACAAGTGCATGACCAATGCTTTTATGTTTTTGACATCACTACTTCTCCAATAAGACTGTGCAAAAGCACTGTAATGGAAGTCCATTTCTCACATAGACAAATCTTATACCAAAGATCGTGTATAACAAGATAGTTCACTCCTCTCTTTGAGCCAATTAAAAAAGTGTCCTCCAAATTCGGTTGCGCTCTCTTCGAAAAAGCCTGGACTTTGCGAACAGAGTTGTCCTACTTGTGTGAAAAACAATAAAAGTAAAATTAACAAACTGTGCTATTCCTATTTTTCTTGTGGAGAAACGAAAGAAAGCTGCAAAACAAAGCCTGCAGTGTCATCTGAAGCAATGCACGGACTTCCACAGACACTTTCTTGGCAGAGTGAACAATCTTGTTATGTACGATCTTTGCTTTACTAAGTGCACACTGTTAAATGTTTTGTCAAATTATATTGCAATTTAATATGGTTATAAAATTTTAGGGTGGCCAGCTTTTTTTTAGTTGATGCGCAAAAACTATCATTTGGGAACAATTACATCAAATCTTGAAAAATTAAACATATTTGATGTTCTTGGCTAAGATTGGGTACATTTGATGAAAACTATGAGAAGGCTAATGATATGTCATATGACTTGGTGGATTCAGATTTTTTTCTCTATGCATGCAGAAAGTGATAGGCTTTTATGGACTTCTGGGTCAAATCTGATAAAACCGAGCAAAGGGCTATTCGATACAGTATGCACTAGCCAGCACCATTTCCAGATTGGATCCGGTCCAATCCATTCATGCAGACTGCCAATGGTCATCCTTTTTAACTCTTTATCTCCGTGGGGGTAAACCCAATATGCCGAGGCCCATTTTTTAGTAAATCTAAAAATGACGAAAACGTCACTAAATTGGTCATTAAATCAAAATAAGTGAACCTATTTTGATAGTTCTTCATCTAATGAATGAAATTCCGATAAAAGAGACTTGTTTGCGGCAATTGCCGAAAAGTAATTTGATGTCGAAGTCGTCGTAAAGGAATGGGCCCGAGCGGCTATCAGCTGCTCACCGGCAGGCAGTTCCGACTTCAAGGCGCTGGGAGCGGCTTGCCGGAGATAAAGAGTTAAGCAACTTTTTCTTTCTAACTTTCATTCCTCTGTTAGTTTCAGACATGATTGCATCCCAGAATATTCCGGATTCTTATGAGGCTGACCTGGTCTCTAGGTTCGAGAAAAACCCCCTGCCGCCCTGGTGCCTCTACGTTGCCTGGACCATTCTGGCTATCACAAGCCTCTCCTGCTGTTTTTTCCTCATCCTCTACTCTATGCAGTGGGGCAAGGCAGTTTCTGGTAAGGACACACTCAAATAAAAAATAAATGTACGGGGTACTGTATTTGCTTTAGTGTGGGTTTAACCCTAACCGTACATTGTGTTTTACTATCGTATCCATACAACGTGGGGAACTCTGTGCCACCACTTTCCAAAGAGGAAATTTACTCATTAATCCGATCCGTACGCTTTGCAAAATAGTCTGTCAAAATGATTTTTTGAATAATGCTGAAAGTTTCAAAGAGATCTTTGTTCTAGAAGTATTCTAAAATGTGAAAAATACAACCCCGGGGGTACAAAATGACCCCAGGGCGTACGAAAGGGTCAACAGCCTTTTTCTTCTTAATAAATAGTAATGATGAGAAATAGCATTTGTATAACTCAAATTCCTGCTCTACAGCAAGCTCTGTATGCTTTACAATATATATTATTAACCCCAGTGGACCCAACAGCATTGTGAAACCAGATGACAAGGACATGTAGTTACTTAACTCATTCGCTACGTATTATTTTCGGCTTGTGGACGAATTTTTTTCGGGAGGGCGAATAAGATGATGACTAGTGGGTAGTTAAAAGGTCTTTGGGGCCACAAATTCAAATAAATATCAACATATTATATACCAATATTTTCAGTATGGATTGTAGAATACATCTGTAATGTTTATTTACGTATTTTTCAACTTTGGTTCCTGTAAGAGGCGATTATGCAACACAATTTTGCTTGGATGCGGATAAAATTTGAAAATAAAAACTTTATAATCTTTGGTGAAACTAAAAAAATATGCTTGCACCTGGTCAAATGATACATCAAAATAACCATAAATGAATATAGAACTGGAAAATATTGAAAAGTTTGCAGTTATTTACATACATTCCATAATATTTGTACATTTGGATCATAACATCCGATATTGAAAAATTAAATTTTTTTTTTTATAATCTTGAAAAACGATTACAAACAGAAAAAAACCACTCGTATCTTATATGGAATTATTCTGGACTCATGGGGTTCAAGCGTGTTGAGCAATTCAGTGGCACATCTCATGCTCCCTCCTTTTTGTTCGTCAGTTTGTAAATGGAGTAACCAGTGGGCACTCGTTTATTTCATATAGAGTTCTCCACTGACAATATTTTGCACTCTCCCAAATAAAAGTCCAGACAAATCACTAAGTTCTCGTATAGAGGTAAGAGATCTTGCACAATATGGTGCCGCATAACCTCAACGGTTTTCTGCAGCGAGGAGTTTGGGTGGCCAGAATATGGTTATCAAAAACTGTGTCTCACCCTTCACTAAATTATCTTGCCCCCAAAACCAGTTTTGACCTCCAGTCTGTGGGAGAGCCACTGGGAAAAACAGAAAAACAACAAACTATAAGTTATAAAACCCAAACTAGAACAGTGAAATCCTTCGGACCTCTCCAGAAGAGACGATGTCATTTTTACTCGATTGCGCATCGGACACATGGCCCTGACCCACAAATACCTCCTACAGGGAGATGAGAAGCCGTTCTGTGTCGGATGCGACACAGATTTTACCATTAGACACATCTTAACCGAATGTCTAGACTGGAGAGATCCGAAGGAAATATTATAAATTCAAGAAATTGCAAGACATTTTTTCCGTCGTTGTTCCCAGCAGAATTTTGAATTTTGTGAAGGCCATTGGCCTTTGTGGCAAATTGTAAAGTGAAACAATATTGTTAAAAAATGTTTATTGTTATTTATAAGAGTTGTTTTAAATTGCAAATATATTTACACTGAATTTTAGTATTTTAGCATTTTAAAGTCTAATTGTCAACAAACCGTGCAGTGAACTGTTGTGAATGCTACCAACTTGTGTTTCGCGCGCTCATATGACCTTATGCAGTTGCGAGCGCTGTAAAACCCTGTACTAAACAACAAACAACAAACCAGTTTTGTATGAACAAGCAGATTTCCCACAAACACGCTGCAAATTTTCATTACTCAGTTTTAGCAATTCACCCCAATTTACAGCACAGCAAATAGAGATGTACTAACGCATATTTTCTTTCGTGAACTTCATCTTGCTTCATCCAGAGTGCAAAACCATCCTTTGTTTATGACGTCATAAAAAATTCAAGAGAGATATCATATTTAACTCCAATGGTTGGTTTTAGAGTAGACATGTTACAGATAAATTATGTGAATAGCTTTAATGACTGAAGTCAATGTCTTGACCACTGGATGGCGACTTCCACTTCTTTCTTATTCATCCACCCTTGTAATTTACTCCCATGTAAATGCATCTTTTTTGTTTCAGAGGAGTGGCTTGCATCATTTGTCTTGTCGTTTCTGGAAAGTGTTTTCGTCTTAGATCCTGTCAAGGTGTGTACATAGTTTTTTTTGGTCAGATTAAATACTAATATATTAACTCCTTATCTCTGACAAGCTGCTCCCAGCCAGTGTTTTATGGCACTTACAACACAGTTAGGTCATACAAGTGCCAAAGATTAGAGGTTTTACAAGAAGAGTATCAAACATAAAAAAGGAGGAGGACAGATAAAGACGATAGATGTTTGATAAGAAAGAAGGAACACACCACACCAGAGCACCTGCCAACCACCCACTAAATGTTCCCTTAATACAGTCATTGTCCCTAATGTCTTTATTAATCTGAATCCATTGACAGTTGTCTTCAGCACTCAAAGTGTAACTGAGTGCGACTCGATCCTCTCTTTGATGTTCTAAACCCCCAAAATTTTATCATGGCATCTTGCTCAGTATTCTGTCGACATCAAGTTGGAAGAGGAAATGACGGAAGTCTTAAGAAAACATACAAAAATTTTAGCCATTTAAAGACCGCTGTGTGGGGCTGAAACATAAGTCAAGTAAAAAGCAGTAGGCTATGCTTTTAACTGAGTATTTTTTTGTTCTTTTAAGCACCCCATAGAACTCGTATGCATATGTGAGAATTTTGTTGGTGTGGAATAATATACATTACATAACACTTCTGTTACTGTTATGATTGTAAGGTAACATATCAGGATTTAGATGGTACCTTTCTTCTACTCAGTAGTCACTTTTCGGTTACAGTGTACTAGAAGACAAAGATAAAACAGAGAGCCTTTTGAGACGTGCGTTTCTCCACTCTCTCTCTATATCTGTTTGTATCCACAAACCGAACAATATTACAGCGGGAAAGCAAGTTTCTTCTCTTGGCTGGCTACTTCTTCTCCGAGGGAGGCTGAGGCAGCCCTCAAGAAGGTTTGGAGGAGAATTTGAAGTAAAACCTGCTAGAATTTGTTACGGTAAACTGCTACAATAGGCACGGCTTTAGCTTTTGAAAAGGGGATGTCTCTCTTGCCCTTTTTAACTCCCAGTGGAGCACAGGCCATCAACAGCATTACTCCAGCGAAGCCTGTCCTGAGCATCCTTTTCTATCAGTTTCCATGATGTCCCCGCTTTTTCAATTTCTGCTTGTACCGCTCGCCTCCATGTCATCTTTGGTCTTCCCTTCTTACGTTTTCCTTGTGGGTTCCACAATAGGGGATGTAGTGTGGAAAATAAAAGAGCAAAACAAAATTCACAATACAGTTAAGTTTGCCTGAGGAGGACAAATTAAATTAGTTCTCCAACTTGGATAACTTACACATCCAGTGCTAAGTTTGTTGGGCTGGAAAAAGTATCAAAGCAACAGGCTACAATTCCGAAAGATGTGCCAAAGAATTTAGCATGTTATGAAAATGTGTAGTTGAAAAGCAGTAGGTTTCTGAATCTTTGAAAATAATGAACATGAAGCGAAGCGAAGAGAAGGAGGGCGTCGGTAGCCTAGTGGTTAGGCTACCGGACTCATAATCGAGAGGTTGCGGGTTCGGGGGTGCGAGCCTCAGCTCGGTCCAACGTCGTGTCCTTGGGAAAGACACTTTACACGAACTTCCCACTTGGCTCGGTCCTATCGGAGATGGATGTTAAACTAGGAGGTCCCGCCTCTTAAATAACCTAATAGTGTTGATAGGGGCGTTAAACTCATACCATTTCACCATTTAAGAAGAGAAGGAGGAGGATGTTTAACACTTTGCAGTCACACAACCCAGCAGTACAAAATACCTCATCTGGTCACCCAGCCGGGAGAGCGACTACAACAGACTTCTCGAGCCAGGCGCAGTGACCGGAACCCAAATTGTGTCGACAGTGCCGTAAAACATCTACTCAATCAAATCGACCGGAACGGATAATTTTCATCAGCGCATTATTAGCGCCAAGTGACTGCAAAGTGTTGAATACACCAACACACTTTAGCTGTGACTTCAGCAATATATAGAGATGTCGAGTTCTTTGGTAATTTGAGTTGTGACATGGGTTGGAAAGTGATTAAACAATTCTTTAGTCCCATCTAAGTGTCCAGGGCTAAAACCTGATGCATTGCCCAATATAAGGCTTGGAATAGAAATACTATGGAAAAACATGGGCTATCAAGCATTTCATTTGTGTTTTTCTCAAAATACTGAAAAGGGACATCCCTTGTTTTTTTTCTTTGTGCCCTTCATCTGTTTTCAGGTAGTTCTGCTGACCTGTCTCCTGGCCTTTTGCTTAAGAAATCCCCATGACAACAACAACTCTAGAGTGTCGTTGGAAACGGTCTGTTCTGAGGCTCCAAGACACGGGTGCCAGGATAGAGGTAGGGCAGCTTTGGTTATCTGGTTTGTTCACTATTAGTTTGTGTTCAAAACTGTGTTAGTTTGTTAGTGTTTGGGCGTGTGCAATCTGTAGTTTGCATTGTATGCTTCCTGGAAAGCCAATAGTGTTACTGGGTGTTTAAGGGACTGCTGGGGTAATAATAGTTGTACAGCGCTTGGAATGTGCTGTAGAGTGTGGATGTGCTTTATTTAAATACAGTTGTTATTAATTTGCTTTAGTTGAGCAAAAGCTTTCTACTCTCTTTTTGAATGCAGGTGTTTTTACGACCCCATTGGCACCATTTAGATAATTTAGATAATTTACAAGCTTAGATCCTGCCTGTCAAGGCCAACCTGGGCTAAGAGGTATAGAATTTCCGAGCAGAAAGACTGAGATACTCTCTAAGAATTCTCCCAACATAGGAATTAAACTCTGGTCTTCTATGTGCAAAGGCAAAGCATCTTACTGCTGTACCACAGATGCTGATCTTTCTTTTCTGAGGTTTGGCTTTTGGAGGCTACATGGCTCTTTGGGAATTTCAATGTGTGGTCTCATGGTTCTCCTTCAAGGCTGTCTCAGTTATAAGCTTGTTGGGCTGCTTTGTTTATTTTTAACAGGGGGTGGGATTGTAGGAGTGAATGAATAAATAAATGAATGAATGAATGAATGAATGAATGAATGAATGAATGAATGAATGAATGAATGAATGAATGAATGAATGAATGAATGAATGAAACATGAAGGAGTACATGAATGAATGATGAAATGAATAAAAGAATAAAGAAAAAAATGAATAAATCAGGAAACGGGTCAACCAGTCAAGCTAGTTGAGATCACAGAGACTTATTTCCCTGAAAAAGCAAGAATAATGGAAACTTTGAGTGAACGGTTTGCCATAAAAAGTGAGGCAGCGTGGTGGAATCAGGCTCTCGTCAATTTTTTGGCATATAGAGTTATAGGTATCATCATAAAGCTTGTTCCCTTATCTTTATTTGGATGCAAAAAATATCCATTTATCTTAAATACAAGTCGAGATATTTGCAAAAGAAGGAGGTGGGGGTCACCTGTTTTCGGAGGTAAAAATTAGTGAGAAAATGGCCGCCAAAGATTAGTTATTTCCTTAGCTTAAGAGTCCGTGGTGACTGAAAATTTACAATTTTTGTGCCTTTAATCAAAGTTTTTAAGAAAAATCCACAGAGAAATGAGTTCTTTAATGGGCACGAAAGATGTTGAGCCAAAAAACAAAAATTTGATAAAAATTCACAAACCTTCGGAAAAATGCAAGTTTCTTCACTTTGATTATTTTGACGAGAGCCTGAAAAATGCAAGTTTCTTCACTTTGATTATTTTGACGAGAGCCTGATTCCACCCCGCTGCCTCACAAAATGTTTTCCTCTGCCTGCACTGCGATTTGCTTTGCCTCCTCCAAATTTCAGATTCGATCCCTATTCCCCCCGCACCTGTCCCGGATGGAGAAGTGGTCAAGATGCGTAACCTGAAATTACAAGAACAAGTGGCAGTTGGAGTCCTGGTGGAACTTGTGCTGTATATTATTTTCATGTTCTGTCTTTTTAGGTGAGGGGAACAACTGGAATGTTTAGCTGTACCAAAGATAGTACATAACAAAATGGGCCACTCAGCCAAAAAAGTGTCTGCAAGAAGTTCGCTCTTTGCTTCAGATGGCGATGCAGTCTGTTTTGAAGCTCTCTTTCGTATTTCCAGAAGAAGAAAAGGAATAGCACCTCCTTGCGTGCACAGATCGACTGCTGTTCATCAGCAGTTTGGGTTTGTTCAATGTGGAGTTTTAGTTTTTAAAAATTTTAATGACCTCTCGCCTTTCATTTTAAAGTCAAATTAAACGAAGAAAACAATAACCCTTTCCACCGGAAGAGGTTTTTTGTCAGTGTAACAATTTTTAAAAAGCGTTCTTCCGAAATTTATTAAAAAACTTGCTAGTTTCACTTTTAATTTTTAAACTCAAGTAGGGTAACTCTGTTCGCAAAGGGTGCGCATTTGTGAAGAGGGCGCCACCGAATTTTGAGGACACTTTTTTAATTGGCTCAAAGAGAGAAGTGGCCTCTCTTGTTATGTAGACTCTTTGGCTGTACTCACCAGACTACATTATTCTACATCGCAAATAAGATGAAATAACAGAAAATGAGATGAGACGAGATAAGATAAAACTTCATTGTCCAGATGCTGGCACATTTTTTGGGTGTTTCACCACACACATGAACGCACACATGCACGCATGCATGCACGCACACACGCATGCACGCACACACACACCTTGTGCACACACACACATATTCACAAGACTCTCTCTCTCTCTCTCTCTCTCTCTCTCTCTCTCTCTCTCTCTCTCTCTCTCTCTCTCTCTCTCTCACACATCCTCTCTTGCACACACATCTGTACACATGCACACAAAATAGTTTGTTTTGCTTTGGATGATAAAATAGTTCTGGTGTCCTGTAGAAAGAGAGGACTTTTTCATAAAATCAATACTGATACTGAACAATAGTAATAATAATGATAATAATGTGATGAAAATGATAAATAATAATATTAATAATATTAATATTGATTATAGTAATGATAATGGTAATAATATGGATATGAATATGATGATGAGAGTGATGAAATTCAGTCAAATGGAGCATAACGGGTGAAGTGTTGAGCAATTTTCTAAGGTGAAATATTTATCGGAGTTTTTCAAGGAGCAAATAATAACAGTCCGGGGACCAACCTTTGTGACAGTACCACAAATCGTAGGAGCATTGTCTGAAGAGGAGGAGCCTTAAGATGCTTAATTTTTTTTCTCCATACGTTTCAGCTTTAGTTACAGCCACAGAGATGGGAGATCTTTTCAGTTTCAGGATCATGTGCTTGAGAATTTGTTCAGGATTCCTAAAAGGAGAGTCAATTCTAGGGCTAGTGACTACTTGCTGCCATGGAGCAAGGTGAAATGATTTCTTCTTCTTCTTCTTCTTCTTCTTCTTCTTCTTCTTCTTCTTCTTCTTCTTCTTCTTCTTCTTCTTCTTCTTCTTCTTCTTCTTCTTCTTCTTCTTCTTCTTCTTCTTCTTCTTCTTCTTCTTCTTCTTCTTCTTCTTCTTCTTCTTCTCCTCCTCCTCCTCCTCCTCCTCCTCCTCCTCCTCCTCCTCCTCCTCCTCCTCCTCCTCCTCCTCCTCCTCCTCCTCCTCCTCCTCCCCCTCCTCCTCCCCCTCCTCCTCCTCCCCCTCACCCTCCCCCTCCCCCTCCCCGTTTTTCCAGTACTGTTGTACCTGCTCTAAGAGTCATCTGTATAAGATGACTATTCACTCAGAAATGTGTTTTCAAACGAACATTGGAAATGTGTAACTTAAATAAAAAAGTAATTCAATAAAAATTGTTCAACGGGTAGGAAAAGGTCAGATTCTTTGATTTCATTTTTAACACTATGTGTTCAGTAACCTCACTGCAATTGTTACAAATGAATTTTTTTCTATCTGTCTACTTGCTTTCTTGGAGATAAACAGTTCACAGTATTCATCAATGAAGGAGGCAGCAACATTCATATTATTGCGTGTGCAACACAGAGGATGTTTTTCACTGGTATGGTGTAGTGGGTGGTTGGCGGGTGCTCTGGTGTGGTTTGCTTCTTCTTTATTATCAAACATCTATCGTCCATATCTCCCCTCCTTCTTTTTTATATTTGTTACTCTCTTGTAACACCTCTAATCTTCTGGCACTCGTATGACCTTATGCAGTTGCGAGCACCATAAAACCTCTACTAAAACTAATCTGGTATGGTGTATATTGTTTTGTTGTAATGAAACAATTTTATAATCGTAATTATGTCAACTAAAATTACTCTCAAACAGGTGCGCACTCGGCAAGATGTCTACACGTGGCTCAACACAACCATGACAACACGGATGTTTCCTGTGTCTTTTCTCTCCGGAAAGGAACTATCACTGGAAGAAAGACAGTTTACAGAGGACATGGCAAACTACCGTGTTGGACCGGTGAGGGTACGGCAAGTCAGAACCCGACCAAGTGAGTGATCCTTCTTGTTCTTAAAGAACAAACAACAAATTAAATGAGGAACTTTCTCTGGATGGTGATATGTGTGTCATCACCATCATCATTAACATATATTAGCAGTACCTGGTATCATCATCATCATCATCATCATCATCATCATCATCATCATCATCATCATCATCATCATCATCATCATCATCATCATCATCATAATATATAGCATTCATATAACGCCTTTCCAGAAAAGTAGCTCAATGCCCATTTACATTGGAATATACCCATTTTCAAAACCTTTCTTACTACTTCCTTTCTTCTAATGCAATATATATTTATGCACACACACACATACACATACACATACACACACGCGCATACACACAGCCATACACACACACACGGACTATTGTCATCCAGACATAGGCACAGAACAACTATAATAAAAAAAATAAATAAAAAATAAATAACGCTTACAGCTTGCAAACTGTAGAGAATAATAAAAAAAAGGGGTTGAGACTTTTAAAAAAGTCTCACCATATCATGTAAATTTTAATATATTTGTTCAATGAATCTGAGTTATTTTGTTGATTTTATGGAATCAAGAAATGGGGAAGGTGTCTCCTTTCGTTGAATCAGAGCTTTCGTTGAATCCCAGTTTGTTGTATCCAACTAGATATGAAATCATCATCATCATCATCATTCATCATCTTCATCATCAAACAATGGCAATTCGAATGGAGTTATTTGGACGAGTGGAGGTTCTTCTGAGTATAATGACTATGGAGCCGAAAAAGAGCCTCGCTCTCACTCGAAGATTTCTTTGTGGAGTCCCCCCGGCCCATTAAGAAAACCAAAAAAAAAATCATCATCATCATCATCATCATCATCATCATCATCATCATCATCATCATCATCATCATCCTTGTTGACATTTTTTTGTCATCATTGTCATCATTTTCATCTCATAATTCTCATCATTACTCAATGTCATCATCAACTTAAGCATTAGCATCTTGTTTTCTATCAACTGACATAATTTGTGAGGCAGCGTGGTGGGATCAGGCTCTCATCAATTTTTGGGCCGGTAGAGTTATTGGTATCATCTTAAAGCTTGTTCACTTGTTTTTCTTTGGATGAAAAAAATATTGATTTATCCAGAATACAAGTTAAGATATTTGCTAAAGAAGGAGATGGGGGTCACCTGTTTTCAGAGGTAAAATAAGTGAGAAAATAGCCGCCAAAGATTAGTTACTTCCTTAGCTTAAGAGTCCACGGTAACTTAAAATGTACATTTTTTGTGCCTTTAATCAACGTTTTTCAGAAAAATCCACACAGAAATGAATTCTTTAATGGGCATAAAAGGTGTTGAGCCAAAAAACAAAAAATTGATAAAAATTAACAAACCTGCGGAAAAATGCCAGTTTCTTCACTTTGATTATTTTGACGAGAGCCTGATTCCACCACGCTGCCTCACATTTTTATTTTCTCTCCATCTGCCGCTTGCAACTTCTCAGTGATGACGTCCGACCTCCTCGTTGACGAGATGACGAGCCACCCCAAGAACCTGATCGGAGACAAACAGTTTTACTGGCCTTACGACATATCGTCTGAGGAAACGGGGAGCTACTGCTTGGGTTGGCAGCACATGCCATGCTCTTTGGCTGAAGAATACGCCAAGTCTGTTACGCTGAGTTCTTGGATTCACAGGTTGGACTTTTCTTGCTAAATTTTATTTTATGATGATAAAAGGGTGTTGAACATCTACTAGCTCTCAATGGCAAAATTGAAGGCAAACGAGGCTAGTGCTAGGGTAGGCAACAATCTACTAGGGAAACCTAAACAAATGGGTAACAGGGAAAGATCAGGGAGACGTAGCTTTTTTTGAGAGCATCCGAGCTAAGGAATGAATGGAGAACCATGATCGTTGATGTCTATCGCAGATCTGGTACTGGATGATGATGATGATGATGATGATGATGATGATGATGATGATGATGATGATGATGATGATGATAAAGGATATAATGATTATATCTATCACAGAAACCACACACTTAGCACAGGACCGATACCTGCACCTCCCCTCGACATCCTAAGGGTTCCACAGGAAGGAAAAAGTAAAAGTAAAAAGTGAAGTAAGAAAAAGATTGTGTTTTCTGAAAGATGGGCCACTCGTGTACAGCGAAACTAGGAATTAATGAAATTGTCAGGCCTGACTTTTAATTTAGTTGAATCTGACTGTTCGTTATAGCTATGTGAGCAATAAGTTAATGATAATAATGGATTGCATTTGAAGAGCACAGGCTAGGGGAAGAACGACGGTAGTCACAAACTGGAAATTGTAGGGCGCCAATTTTAAAGCTTGTGGACTCATAATTTCATATTTGTTTGACTGGTGGTTTATTGTTAAGAGTTGTTGAGTGGGAAATCTAACAACAATAATCAACCAACAGTTGAACAGAAATACAGTTATGAGTCAACAAGAGTTCAAAATTGGTATCCTCACGATATTCAGTTTGTGACTACCGTTGTTTTTCCCCTGTAGTTTTATTTTATATCGCGCATATCTTCTGATGCAATGCTCTATGCGCTAAACATTGAACATTATTATGGATTTACAAATCAATTTTATATGCACATAGTATTACATACATGTGCACACACATACTCACGCACGCATACACCCACACACACATACACACATACATACACACATACGTACACAGGCACATACAAACTCACGACAATCTACAGCTTGGATGGATTCTGTCTAATCGAAATTTATTATGATGAAAAGCTTTTTTTAGTCTTTTCTTTAAAATTTCTAGATTTTCTGCTTCTCTGATAGTTTTTGGAAGCCTATTCCAAACAAGTGGGGCAAAATATGAAAAGATCATTGGCCATATGATTTTTAATTTATTTTAGTTGCATTGCAATGTAGGCCCCCTATTATGACTTTGTTTGTTTCCACAGACCAGTGCACAATTCATTATGTCTAAGCCAGTCTTTCATAGTTCAGCATCTTGAAGGGGGAGGAAGGAGGAGATATCTCTAACGTGTCTTTATCTGTGTCAACATTCCACACACAGAACGCTTTAATTCTTCTTTCACCCCCCCCTCCATCCTCACCCCCACAAAATCTCCCCCTGACACATGTTGTTGTTGTTGTTGTTTTCCAATCCCTTTAGCTGCGAGCATTTCGCTCTTGGTACATGCAGTAATGGCCACATGTTCGCTGTCTGTCACTCAACCTCTCCCAACCAGGGCACATGCTATATGTGTCATGACGTGGTGGAATCAGGCTCTTGTCAATGTTTGGGCATGAAGAGTTATTGGTATCATCTTAAAACTTCTTCGTTTGTTTTTATTTGGAGGGGAAAAACATTCATTTATCTTGAATAAAAGTCGAGATATTTGCGAATGAAGGAGGTGGGGGTCACCTGTTTCAGATGTGATATTAGTGAGAAAATGACCATCAAAAATTAGTTATTTCCCTAGTTTGAGAGTCCGTGGTAACTGAAAATTTACATTTTTTGTGCCTTCAGTCGACGTTTTTCAGTCAAATCCACACATAAATGTATTCTTTACTGGGCATGAAAGGTGTTGAGCCAAAAACAAAAAATTCAATAAAAATTCACAAACCTGCAGAAAAATGCCAGTATCTTCAGTTTGATTATTTTGACGAGAGCCTGATTCCACCACGCTGCATCCCATATAAGACACATCATGTCTCATGCGCTTGTCAACAATGTGGTGGTGTGAAAGAAGGCCACTGATTGGTCGCATTATGCAATAGGCTCAGTTAAGCGTGTAATGATCCATGGTGCAGGTGTGATCAATGGTGTCTCAGTAGAGAGTAGACAAGATTTGTTATAGGAAGCCACATTAGTGGGAGTTGCTTGCCCTGCTAGTGACTAGGCTGAATCTGAGTTTGTAGATTTATTTGTTGCAATGAATCCGAGTTATTTTGTTGATTTTAATGAATAAAAAAAATGGGGAATGTGTCTCCTTTTTTTGAATCAGAGTTTTCGTTGAATCACAGTTTGTTGTATCCAAGTTTCACTGTATTTGAGGTATGAAATGAAAATGTGAGGCAGCGTGGTGGAATCAGGCTCTCGTCAAAATAATAAATGTGAAGAAACTTGCATTTTTTCGCAGATTTGTGAATTTTTATCAAAATTTTGTTTTTTGGCTCAACCCCTTTCATGCCCAATAAAGAACTCATTTCTGTGTGGATTTTTCTGAAAAAACGTTGATTAACCCGCTCCGCCACCGCACCCTCTCTATTTGAGTAATGAAACAAAATGTCTACATCAGCAGCTGTGTCAACATCTTCATTGTGCATTGATTGCGGAGAAAGGTTTTCTATATAGGAGTCATGTTATAACACTTGTTTTGCACAAACTTTAAAAACACTTACGTGACCAAATCTGAGTCGATAGTGCTGTAAAACACCTACTCAAACAAAACAAATCAAAAACAAAACTTTGATACAGATAGCTAGATTTGAGGGATTTTGCTCATGTGTGAGATTGATTCTTGATGAAATAGCTATAGTGCTCTACCCATCTATGTATCTGTCTATTTTAGTACTCTCCATATGTGTGTCTGTCTATCTTAGTGATCTGTCCATCTATGCATCTGTCTGTCTGAACCATCTATCCATCTATGTAATTGTCTATCTTAGTGATCTGTCCATCTATGTATCTGTCTGTCTGAACCATCTATCCATCTATGTAATTGTCTACCTTAGTGATCGATCTATCCATCTATGTAATTGTCTATCTTAGTGATCTATCTATCCATCTATGTATCTTCTATCTTATCCATCTATTTTTTTTCCCTTCCTCAATGCACAGATCAACTCTTGATGAAAATGCCATCCCTGTCTTGGGCAAGCTTCATTTGTACAGTGGAGGGGGCTACATCATCGATCTCGCTGGATATCACGATGTCATTCCGGATGTCTTCATCCGCGAACTCTACCAGAACCGCTGGCTGGACCTGCAGACCAGAGCTGTGTTTGTCGAGTTTTCGCTCTACAACGTTGATGCTAATCTGCTGGCTACTGTGAGGTATGAGGTTTTGCTTTTGATGCATGACCCCAGAGCTGCTCATATGGTGTTGATCCTGTCACGGCCTTATACTCGAGTACAAAACATAGCAAGACATGTTTTATCCCAATCCACCCTGCGTT